GATGATGTTGCAAAATGCACGAAATTCAATCCATCTATTGAATATTTTCAAAATTTGGTATGCTAATAGTAATCTTTAAAAGTGACATGTGGGCTTTGAAATCGCTCTAATCGAAGGTCGGATGATGAAATGGTGCACTCTGGAAGTTAGTTTGGAGGTGTTGTCATGAGCTGTCATGACGACAAAAATAACCAAACTTGTAACATGGCTAATTTTTAATCCAACCGTTGGATCTTTTTGAAATTTGGTACATTTATAGTACCCTTTGAATGTGACGTGTGAACTTTAAAATTACTTCGATTGGGGACTAGATGATAGAATAGTGCCTCCCGGAAGTTAGCCCGAGAGGGCTATCATGACAGCAATTTAATGCTGTCATGACAACGTCTTTTTACCCCCGCTTTTGCCTAGCTTGCCTCCGTGCTATAGGTAAAACATATAAATTTTTTTAAAAAAAGTTTTTAAATGGTTTGTTTCCTAAGTTGGTTTTAGGATCAACTCCTTAACCACACTTAGTTTATTTGAATTGTGTGATTTTTTGATAACACTCAGGGCAAGTGTTACAATGATCTTTCTCATTTTATGAAAATAAGGTGTTTACTTTAGAGAAGATTGGTAGCACAAGTATTGAAGTAAATCAAATGAATTCTTTGAGTGTCAAAACTAGAATATAGTACCAGTGCTATTAGATAGCATAGGTGTTAAATAATAAAGCTTATAGCTAAAATATCAAGAAACCTTGATAAAGAACAAATAGGACAAGTGTTAATATATAGCACAAGTGTTAGGGATTCTTATTCTTAAAGAGTGAACAAGACTATGTCAAAAGAGAAGAGAACACAAGTAGCACATGTGCTGGAATGTAGAATAGGTGTTAAAACCGGAATAGCATCAGTGATAACACATCAATACTAGTGCTAAAAGCACTTAAGCCAAATTCTAAAATTTCAAAAAGGGATTTTTGACAGGGATAGCACTGGTGCTAAAAGCACAGTACCCATGTTAAGGACACTTAGACAAAAAAGAAGTTCTAAAAAGTGAATTTTGACAAGAGACCCACATGGACATTTAAGGATCCAAAAGACATATAGTTAAGTCAAATACTTAAATAAATCAGGATTTTACAAAGAATAAGTATTTTTGAGGTATAAGGATCAAAAATTGATTGAGTGTAGGATTTAAAGTACTAGTGCTAAGTCACTTAGGTCAAATTCATTTAAAATGCTTAGTCAATTACCTTACCCTTATTTAATCATGATTAATTAACCTATAAAACATAATCTTTTCTAATTATCAAAACTAGGGTTCAACATTTTGCCTCCTTTTTGATGATGACAAAACTAAGATGCAAAATATTAGTTGTGGAGAGACTTTGGTCTCTCCTTAACACAAATAATTAATTAAAGATAACAATGTAAACAAAAATTTTACTATAATATGCAATTGGATAAATAGAAAAAATTTACAAAAGTCAATTCAAATGACAGAACATAAATGACAGAATTAAGACTAATCAAGCACACTATCCAATCTTTGAAAATAGTTCCAAAAAAATTCATTAGCTCATTGAATTTCTTTGTAGTAGGAGATGAAGGTCTAGGAGGTTTTTCAAATGAAGAGGATTGAGAAGACTGAGGCTTAGAGTGAGAGAGCTTGGGTGAAGGTTTTAGGCTTAGTAATCTTAGGCTCAGAGGTGTCCTTCACAACCTTCAGTCTAAACTTGCTAGGTCTCGTAAGGGTACTCCTCTTTTTCCTCACAACAAGAGAACTTTTCCTCACAACAGGCTCCCCCTTATGCTTTCTAGTTCCTGAATCACCAGCCACTTCAAATTTACCCTTTTGATCTAATTGACCCTTTTGAATTGCTTTTTTGGCATTTTTATCCTTCTCCCCTCTTTTTGTCATCAATAAAGGGTGTAGACAAAGTTATTAGGACAAACAAATTTGGAGATGGTGTGTAAGTTGAACTAGCACCACTATCATCCTAAATGGTCTTGGACTAAACTTCCTGGGAGGCTTGAATATATCTCCAAATTCTAATATGGTAGTAAGAGAGGTAGGAAAAAGTACAAAATTAGGATTATTCCTAATCATCCTATAATACCAGAGAAGGATGTAGAGAGAGGAGAAGACTTATCATGTTGTTGTTCCTCTTCATTGTTTGAGTTCTCAATGTATTCCCTTACAATCTTGGCTACCTCAATAAACTTAGCATCTTTAGGTTGTTAAGAGACTTCTTCTAAACTATCCTTGAACATAGCTCTAAGCTTAGAATCAATAAAAGAGGCTAGCCCAACTCTAACATTGCCAAACTTAAAAGGGATTTGCAAATCACTGTCCACTTCTACTTCTATTACTTTCCTCTTTCTCTGAATAGTAGGGGAAGTTGTTGAGGGGTGCACTAAGACATGATCATCAAAGGGAGTTTCTTGAACATCCTCATATACAAAGTCATCTTGAGGAGTAGGCATTCTGAAAGTAGAATAATGTTCTAATGAATCTCTAGGTTTAGGAGTTCCTCCCAAACTCAACACTTGAGCTCTCAGTAGCCCAAGTTCTTATTTGAACTCATCCCTTAGACTATTTCTTAAGCTGCAAGTTGAAGTCATCTGCTTGTCTCTCTAAACACAAAGTGAAGAGCTCAACTTGAATCTTGAACCTTTTATCTAACCACTTGACAGCATCACAATCCAAATAGAGTCCCTCAAATGGAGGAGGAATTGATGAACTTGGCTAAGCAGGATGTGAACTAAGTCTAGCTTAAGTACTTAGAGCTACTATAAATTGTGCTTCTGTTTGAATTCCTACTCCAGCCTCTGTTTCCTTGATAATCTCCATTTTCTTAAGGGTGGTACTATTGATCTTTGAGTGTTAAAGTAAATCAGATGAATTCTTTGAGTGTCAAAACTAGAATACAGTACCGGTGCTATCAAACTGCACTAGTATTAACCAATAAAGCTTGTAGCCAAAATATCAAGAAACCTTGAAAAAGAACAAATATGATAAGTGTTGATACACAGCACAGGTGTTAGGGATTCTTAAAGAGTGAACAAGACTAAGTCAAAAGAGAAAAGAACACAAGTAGCATAGGTGTTCGAATATTACAGGTGCTAAAATCGAAATAACACTGGTGCTAACACATCAATACCGATGCTAAAAGCACTTAAGCCAAATTCTAAACTTCTAAAAAGGGATTTTTGATAGAGATAGATGAATAGCACTGGTGCTAAAAGTACAGTACCAATGCTAAAGACACTTAGACAAAAAAAAAGTTCTAGAAATTAAATTTTGACAAGAGACTTAGCTGGAAAACTTTCAAAAGGATATTTAAGGATCCAAAAAACATTTAGTTAAGTTAAATACTTAAATAAGTCAGGATTTCACAAAAAATAAGTATTTTTGAGGTACAAGGATCAAAAAATTGATTGAGTACATGATTTAAATTATCAGTGCTAAGTCACTTAGGTAAGATTCATTTAAAATGCTTGGCCAATTACCTTACCCTTATTTAATTGTGATTAATTAACCTGTAAAACATAATTTTTTTATTTTATAATCATCAAAATTAGAATTCAACAAAAAAGTTACTATTTATGAAGAAACATGTCCATGTTTCATTTTAACAGTAATAAATTCCTTATTTAACAAGTGTTGTAATATGGTGAATAAGTTACCACTTAGGACAAAAAAAAGGTCCCCTTTTCATGTTAATAGCAATCAATTCCTAATTTGACAATTGCAGAAAATAATCATTTTTTAATGAAATAAGTGTTATAATATGATAAACAAGTCACTATTCAAGGGGGAAAAAAAAGTCCCCATTCCATTATAAGCAATTCCTTTAGATGTATTTCTTTTAAATTCATATGGGTTATTTTCATCATTTCAACTTTAATCTTATTTTCATATCAATCATCTTGGCCTATGATGCTAATTCAGAATTTATTGGTTATTGTTTACAAATAACATGCTTCAACAGCCCTTATGTATGATTTCCCCTTTATTATTTCATATTTTTTTGATCGTTTTTTTTTTGTGAAATCAAAATATTTTTTAATATTTTACATTGAGATATAAGAATAAGATTTTGTTTTAGGGCCATCTGAAAATACGTCGTTATTGTTTATAGTAAATACTATATTTATTGATTTCACAAACAAAAAAATCTATCTAGTATATATATATTTATCAACAGCGTTGCTCTTGCTCCCATCACAAAATAACGCAACATTAAATCCATATTTGAATGGCGGCTATATAGCTAGTTTTATTGTTCACGGCTCTTCTACAATAATTTTGCTTCTATCGTCTATAAACCCCAATCGCTGTCTGTCGTACTCTGTTTTTTAAATAAAAAAATAAATAAAAGAATCTGTGGTCTCTTTTTTGACATTTTTCTTTTACAATGAACTAGTTAAATTAAAATACAGCCACATATTTGTGGTGTAGTTTTTTTTATTATATACAATGATCCTCCAACTAAAACAATTATATTCAAGTCAATATCCGAAATTAAATATAGGCATTTCTCAACAAATTTGTCGTGTAATTCTAACAAACACACATCAATAGAAGAATAATAGTGGTTGTTGCAATTCAACAATCTAACAAATCAAGCTTTTAAAAATTAAAATTAATCTTTTAATTCTTCAACTTTTATTTTACTTACAACTCAATTTATTTATTATAATTATATATAATTTAATTCCGCAATTTTTAACTTATGTATAATTTAATTTTTATTTTTTAAATTTTTCTTTAAAGAAATTACATTACTATGAAGTGATGCATGATTCAACTGGTTGAAAAAATTTATTCTAAAATCTTAAATTTTTGAATTTTTAAAAATATAGAGTCACATTATCAAAATATCATGAGGCCATTGTTAGCAATAACGATATCACAGAATTGCAATTGTAATTAGTTTGAGCGGAAAATAGTAAGAGATGGAATTTTAAAAATAAAAATAAAAATACCAAGAGTGTCTCCGGGTGCAAAAATTGAAAGTGGGAAGAAATAATAATTTATAATTACTAACCGCTCATGGACAAATATTACATAATTTAAACAAAACTTAATCCTTCACAAGGCTGCGAAAGAGTAATACTGTACATCTACAGCAGACTCCTCTGTTTCCAAAATCCAGCTTCTCATTCTCATCAACAAGCATTCACTTGTTAAATTCCCACTTATTGTTCTGCATCAAACTGACTCAAACATGTATATAATTAAATTAGTTAATTAATTTAGCAGATAACACAAGCATTAGGATCTTCTTCCACACTCCGAACAGGATAATAAGAAGGATATTGATAGCAGTATTGTGCTTTCATCTGATTATGATAGTTCTGATACGCCTTAAGAAGATCGGCCATTTGCTCCTTCTCGTCTTTCTTCTTCTGTTCTGGTTCTGGTTTCTTCTCTTCTTTCTTTTCTTCCTTCTTCTCTTCTTTCGCTGGCCCCACTGAGACTATCTCTGTGTGGCAGAGTTTCCTCAGCTTTCCCACGATGCTCACTGGGTCTATGTCCCCTGTTAGAGTTAATTTCTTATCTTTCATGTCCACTGACACAGATTCAACCCCTGCAACAACAATAAACCATCAAAAATTCATTATTAATTATTATTGATCTTCCAAATAAGGAAGAAGATGTCACACAAATTCCCAAAAAAAAAAAAAAGCTAATCATAAAAAGTTACTCTATTGGTGGGAAACTTCACAATTATAAGTTTCTATTTCACTTTGTGAGGGTGTGGAAACCAAAATATAAACCCATGATCAAATTATAATTAAATCGGTTATAAATAAAATATTTTATTAAATTAATTAATATTAACAGTTCACTGGGCTGCAAAGGAAGAGGTTATCTTAAAAGATTAACTTATTGGAGCTGTTAAATTAATGGATAAATATTTTGTTTATGAAAATTAAATATGATAATAAACAAAATGGATTAAGAGATACTTTTAATCCATAGAGTTTGTTATTATATTTTTTCTTAAATTAAAAGAATTCAGAAAAATAAAGTTAGTCTATTGTAAGTTAATCTTTTAAATTAAACGATTAACTTATTTCTTCTCTACAGAACATGATGGATTAAGATGATCAGAATAGGTGAGATTTCGTTGATTACCTGGAAGCCCAGACACAGCCTTCATGGCTTTCTTCTTTATTGAGTCGTCGTGTAGTTCTACCTTGAGAATCACTTTCTGTGGATAGACAGAGAGAGAAAGGAAGTTGAATCAGAAAAATCTTGAGATTAAATATGAAGGAGATAAGTAAGAGATCGAGAGAGGAATTGAAGTAGGGGTGATGAGGGGGAGCAAATTCTCACCTTCATGATGATGTTGAACTTGTGAAGATCATTAATGGCGGATTTAGAGAGAGAGAGAGAGAGAGAGAGAGAGAGAGAGATGCAGAATTGGAGCGATGAGGTCAGGATATGGTTGAAGGCATTTATAGTGGAAAAACGTGAGAGGTGAAAGAAGGGGAGAGGAAGATGCAAGGTCAAGACAAGTCAAGTCCCCATCTTGTGGTCCACGGTCAGCAATACGCGGTCGTATTAGACTTTAAAGCTTTTCTTTTTAATATCTTCGGCGTCCAACTTGGAAGGGAGAAAAGTAATACAGACACTTACTATGCTGCTTGTAATAATCATCATAGAAAAACTATATTTTTTCCCACTATAATTTTGATGTAACTGTTATTTTCAGATTTAAAAACGTATTAAATACTTTATTTTTTATTTTACTCTTTATTAATATATACTCATTAATGGATAAATAGTAGTAATTATTCAAAAAAATATTAGAGATATTTAAGGAAAGTAGAAATTGATTTTACAAAAATCTAGATTATTTAATGATTTATCTATGTGAAAAATGTTTTTGTGACATTTTAGAGTAAAATTTTACAAATATGGCCATAACAGGGTGACGTGGATAATGAGTTGGCCATTTGTATGATTAGTAATGTACACAGTGACTGCTCCTGTTAGTTGCCACCTTAATATTTTTTTATGGATGTATTTAAGTAAAATTATATAGCGAATCATACTTTTCTATTATTAGTCAATATTAACTCTTATAAAAATAGAATGATACTTAAAATTTATACTATACATGTTAATTTTTTATTAAATTCATTTGAAAAAGACATGTAAGTTATTATAAGATCAATTGTATAAAATTTTCTTTGAACTTTAATAGTGTTTTAAAATGGGGTTAACTTGCAAATCTACCAATAAAAAATTCTTTGAAGAGCTGCTAGCTTCCTTAACTTAAGTGTATATATATATATATATATAATGTAATTTTACCCATGAAATTTAAATATCATGAATTTTTGAATTTTACCCATAATAAAGGTCAAATGTTTGTTAAGTAAGAGTTGCGAAGCCTTCCTATAATGTTACATGTAAATGGGTACAAAAATATCCATAAAATAATATAGTATAGTGTAATTTTGTTCATTAACTCTAAAAATGATACAAAACTCTCCAATCTTTAATAAATGTACATGTTCTCAAATGTTGACTATGAATGTCAGAAACGATGGTGTTTCATTTGACTCGATGTGCAAGCATTGAAATACATATGTTCAAATTTGTTCTGATTGGCAACAATTAACTTGAAGTGCAACATTTGATTTTGTGATGTATCACAGCCACATAAACAAAATTGGATTCAAAATCTATCTTGAAACTACCCACACTGCTACTTCTCTCTTATTTCCATTACCCAAGGTAGTTCAAACCTTCTTTCATCTCATCCTTGTTGTGAAGTGTGATAAGTAAAATATTTTGTTTAAGGTATATTCTAATTAGGATATATTCCTTTTTTACACTTTATGTCAAATAAAATTTTTATTATTTTGATATTACAGTCGACGTATGTCATTGTTTTAGATTTTTGAGGATTTTCGCAACATTTTTTTAGGTTTTAAGGGCAAAATTGCACCATAATATAATACATGTATGGATATCTTTGCTTATAATCATTTATAAGTGGCATAGAATGTGAGACATACAATCTTTACTTAATTGGTATTTAGCTTCCATTATGAATTAAAGATTTTTGTATTGTATTATAGGGTTAATTGATAAAATTATACTATACTTGAATTAAAAATGCTAGTAATTACTCCCCTTTATAGATAAATTTTCCTCAAGACTTGATAAGGAACACCCCTGAACTTATAATTTTGGGAAACTCTCGTCATGCCAGCAATTATAACGTCATGCCACTAACCGAGGATATATCTTATTGACCGAATATTTCCTTGAACTTTATTTTTTTTTTCTTAGACAAATCCTTGACTTTTAAGTTATATATAGAGAGTGAATCCCTCAAACTTTATGTCATGCGTATAAAAATTTTGAACTTAAAGCAATGACTTTATAGCCTGATAGCATGTAAACTCTCTTGTAAGTAAAAAATTACAAGTTCTATCTCACTTATAATCTTAAACTATTAGTCCCTTAATTAAAAAAAAATTTCTTGAAATAACCTCAAGCCAGCAGCTTATTCCAAATAGCTACTTCAAATAGCTTTTCCAAATAATCATATATCTGATTATTTTAAATTAATTTTTCAAAAATATATTTTTTTAAAAAGGAAAAAAAAAAAAGCCTAAACAAACTGCCCTATATATAATATTCACAAATATCAGATTTATTATAATGTACAACAGTAGTCCGATTTCTGATTGTTTGAACGTTTCGGGTAATTAGAAGAAATTCGATTAGTTTAGAGTTCAAATATTTAAAATTACATTTGTATATTTCTCGTTCGCTGCAGCACGCCATTTCTCAATCTTATGCATTTTATTGGCGGAAAGAAAATTGCATGATTTTCTTTTTTTTCTAGCTCTTGAAAGCTGAGTATATACATAGGCCCGCCATACGATGACAATGGGTCCCACGTGGAAAGTGGGTGGTTTGAAATTTTCATTACGCAGAAATTTCCTTAACAGCTGACGTGTGAAAAATAGGGAGCGGGATGGCGCCGACCGCAAGTTTTTTTTGGTTCTTGTTGACATTTTATTTTTATATTTTCTTCTCTGAGGACTCTCCACATTATTAATTTACATACATGCATGCATACATACATATGTCAGCAGTATTTATTGGTTGTTGCGTTGTATGTGTGTCACAGAAGATTGGCGTGACCTTCAGCAATAGTTTCTCTAGTGATCCTGGTCTCAATCCTATTCATATCCTTCATCAACACTATCTTATCAATCAGGGTTATACAAAGAATTGAACTAGATTAAACTATAATTTAATTTAAAATTTAGTCTCTTTTACAGAAAAAATTATGTTAACCAACTCATAAATTGATTTAGTCTAGTTATAATCCAAAAATTAATATGATTGGACTTAGTCTATAGGACTAAGATTAGTCTCAGTAGTTCGATATTCACTTAACTTTTTTTTTATTTTTTCCTGTATAAGAGATAATAACAATTCATTTTATATTGATAAACTTAATTGAAATAATAAAAATACTTATAATCATAAAAAAAATCAATAACAATCTCTAACAGCAATAAAAAAAAATGTTTTAGTTACAATCTAAATGATTCAAATTTATAACTTCAATAGCAGTGGTAACAACATTCAACAAATCTCAGCAATATGTCTAATATACATTACAACAATAATTTAGTAGCAAACTAAATTAAAATTATATTAAATAAAAGGGCAAAATGTGAATGGAGGAGATGTTGAGTTCAAACTTTAAACTATTCAGATATATTAAAAATAATTAAAATTACATTAAAATAATTTTATAAGATCGGATCGGACTAAGGGCTCTGAGAGGTTGGTCTCTTGTTCAATCCAACCTGAGAAGTTAGTTTGATTCTTTTAGGTCTCTTTAGTTCTTAGGACCAATTTTTTTACAAGACCAAACCAAACTAAACTTTTTTGGATTGGATTGGATTGGGTTAAACAGGACAACCAAACTTTTACAAATCCCTACTATCAAGCTACCGACTCTCAATGTTGAGGATGTATCTCTTAATCTTGCATATCCTACTGTTGATGAAACCAAGCAAGCTGTGTTTAGCCTACTAAAAGATAGTGCACCAAGACCTGATGGTTATCATGTATCTTCCTTTCTCTCAAATTGCCTTATGGTTGAAGACCATAATCACTTTGCAAGTTTCCATCACTTTTCTCTCATTTTCTCTTAGCCTATTTCGTGCAAGAACTCTTTCATTCAGATCACACACCCATTTTTCTATATTCAAATATTTTTTCTCACTTTCTCACTTGTTCTTCAATTTTTGACCCAATCAATCTCTCATATCTTTCTCATTTCTATCCAAATCAAACAAAACCACCTTCATTCTTATCCTCTTCTCATTTTTGTCCAAATAATCTCAAATATACAAGGATTGAAAGCTCAAATCAACTGTGTCAGAAGACAAGAGGTTTGGCTTAATTGGGAAGAACTTGATGGCTTCAACTATAGTGATGGAAGGCTAGAGATCATGGAGGATTCCGAGGAGGAAGACGGAGTTCACACATTCTTCACTTGGCTAAGGATCTTGTAATTTCATTTTACTTCAAGTTATAGTGCTAGATTTAGGTTGCAATTTGATTGGTTTATTACTCTAATTTGATATCATCATTTTTCATAATGAAGGAATTCTTGTCGAGTCTATTCATTTGCCTTGCCTAATAGCTTGAATTTCTCCATATCATGTTGCTATATAATCTTGAGTTAATGTGATATGATTTGTCTTGAATTAGCCCTTACATAATCTTGTGAGTTGGTTTATTGACTTGAATTGGGATGTTGCATAATCTTGTGATGATTCCATGTCTTTATCTTGCTTGGCCATGGCAATGCTTAGGGAAAACACACTAGGACACTTAATCTAGATGGTTGATCGTGGCTTTCTTCACCTTAATCTAGGGAATTGAATTAGGTTAACTAGCTAATCCAACTAGGTTTAATTGAATCTAGGAGGAACTTGGTCTAGTGTGTAATGCCCTTTACTGACATTACCATACGCTCCATTACAATTAATCTTAATCAAATAAAAATCATTTACTTAGAAAAACTTTAGGATCCCAATAAAAATTTTCCAGGAATGATAAATTACCCAGGTTATAAAACCCTATACATAGTGAAAGCAATAACTATTCGGGTATGAAATACCAAGAAAAACATGTGCAATATAAACAAACAAAGTTAAATTTGGCACTGTACATCATGGCTCATGCCACATGCACCGCGGCATATGGCACAGAGGCCACAGTTGCTCGCTCTGTGTCGTGCATTGCGATATGCGGGCATATGTGCCGCGGTGCATACACCTGAATTTGCTGTCAAATGACAGTTTCTGATATAAATTTAGATGCACACCATTTCTACATACGATGTCCGATTGGGAAGGTTTAAGAGCTCACACAAAGCTTATTTTGAAATCTAACTAATG